GGGTGATTTCTTGCTTTCTGTCTCTCTGTCTCTCTCTGTCTGTCTGGCGAGTGAACGCGCCCTATAGCAAAAAACCTCTCCAAAGAAAAAAAAAGAAAAAGGTTATGGTAGGAGCCAGCAGACAGCGTATTAGTTATGTCCCGGACTCTCGCATAGCTGACTGCTGTTCAAATCCATGACCTGGTGGCTTGAAATTCACATTAGGCATGTGTGTGTGCATGGCCAAGATACCAGCAGGAGAATGGAGAAGAAGGGATTGCAGTTCTCACTTTTCCTCTCACTGTCTCTGTTTCTTTCTCTCTCCAGTGAGTTTATGTGCCCTAAGGCAAAAAGCTCTACCAAAAAAAAATTATACTAAATGCATATTATAAAACAACTGCACATTGGGGCCGGCAGGTGGTGTGGTGGTTATTGGCGCTGGACTCCTAGATAGCTGACCGTGGTTCAAGTCCTGAATGTGGTGGCTTGCTTTCTCACTTTCCCTCTCTCTCTCTGTCTGTATGATCAAACTGGAAAGTAACAATAATAATAAATAAAGTTAAAATAAAATAATTATTAAAAAAAAACCCAACTGCACATCTACTTCAAAAAAATTTTGCACCAAAATAAACTCATGCTTTAATTCTACTTTTCCATGAACTTTCTGACGTTCCCTCATATATCTTATTTAAAGAAATGTCTTATCAACTCCTTTGCCCATTTAAAAATTGGATCATTTATATTATTGAGTTGTGTCTTTATATACTCTGGATACAACTATCTCATTAAAGAAATGATTTGCAAAGATTTTTTCCCATTCTGTAGATTGTCTTTTCACTTTCTTGTTGGCATTGTGTGCAGCTTGTAAGATTTTATTCCTAATGCAATATAACTTATCTGCTTTTTTCTTCATGCTTTTTTAAAATTATTCTTTTTAATAATTTTTACTTTTTTTTAGAGATTTTTGCCTTAGAGCACATGCACTCACCAGAGACAGAGACAGTGAGAGGGAGAGTGAGAAATCACCCTCTATGGGGGATGGCTACACTGGAATCATTTCTCCATTTTCCTCCTGGGATCTTGTGCATGCATAAACATGTGCCCGCCATGATTTTCAAACCTTGGATCTGTGATTCGAACCATGATCAACCATGTGGGAATCCAGTGATGTAACCACTATGCCATCTGCTGTCCCCTTCCTTCGTGCTTTTGGTGTCATATTTAATTATCTCCCTGTTTGAGCAGCTGATCCTGTGCTTTCTTTCCTAGAATTCATTGTAGCTGTTTAGACCAGGAATATGCAAATGACAAACAAACAAAAAAAAGAGTAGTAGGGAAATACTTCTTTATTTCTCCATACTTTTTTTTTTGTGTCTATGTTGTAAAGTTGCTGAATAGGTAAGTCCCTAGTTTTTATGAATTCCTAAGGTTGTTCCTGTACCACCCCAAAGCCACATTCACTTTTGCCTGCCAGCTGCCCCATTTAGTCAAGGAGCCATCCTCGGACTTGCTGCTAGACAGAAACAAACAATAGCACCAGAAATAACAATATGCAATGTGGAAAAGCCTGGTAAACTATAAATCAAAGCAAATGCACTAAAACCTTGTAAGATTTTTTAAAAGGGAAATCAAAATGATTCCATTTGGATTCTCAGGAGAGAACTGGAAATGCCTTTAAGACTTTACAGTAACATAGTCTTTTCTTGCCAGGTGCTCGATACTAAAGAAAAACATCTTTCCCGCCTCCTAGCTTTGCTGCTTTCATAGTGCTTTGTGTGTCACATAAGGCTGCAAGCTTAAAGATTTCACAGGAAGGAGTTCAAACTGAAATTGGCATAGAAAGAGGAAATTTCAAATTAAATGCTGTTACTGTCTACAAAATAGAAGCATTAATTGAAAAAAGAATCTAGGATAGTGTCCCGCTTTCTCACTCTAGGAGACATTTCTTGGCTGATCTCAAACTTAAGGTTTTAAAAAATCAACACATATTTTTTTTAAAAAGAAAAAGCACTTATTTATTTCAGACATACTTAGTATTCATGGAGAATTTAAACCTAAATTAAATTTAACGTGTGACTTCAAACCTAATCTTACTTTTCGTTTCTAAAATGTAGCAGTTAAAAAGGTTACCCCTTTCTCTAACAATGAAAGAAAATACCTCTTCTTAAAAAAATCATTATGTTTCTGAAAATAATTTTGCTGTGAAACCATTAAGCATCTTATTAATATTGATTGAGAGATTGGTGAATGTTCTGTAAAATGGATAGATATCTTTAAACTGAAATGACATTTTAGGCAGCAAAAAAAAAGGAGGGATAATGCAAGAATTTATTAAATATATTGCCCAAACTAGAATCAAATAATTTTACTAAGCATACATTTCATTGCTGTACTCCAATATGGCAAAT